TTTATTTTTCTAATTAATATTAAAAATAATTTTATTATTGTTATAAAAATAAATATAAATTATTTTTTTTATACATACAATATGGATGTTAAATCGAAGCTTATCAAAAGATGATTAATTTGATATATTACATATGTAAAACTGATAAAAAATTAATAGTTATAATAAGAAATGATATTAAAATACAATTAATACATGTAACATGACCATAAATAATTAACATATTTATGGTAATCCGAACCTAATTATTTTTGGTTTGGAATTAAATTAAAATTTACTCAAGCCTAATAATAACGATGTAATTTTGCCACATAAGATTCCGAAGCACCAGAAGCAGCCACGTAGGCTCAGCGCATTCTGTATTAATATATAGGGGGGATTATTATTATTATTATTATTATTATTATTATTATTATTATTATTATTATTATTATTATTATTATTATTATTATTATTATTATTTATATATACTCACACAAATGTATATTGATTCAAGGGCTAAAATAGCTCAATGCTACAGTCCCGTTACGGGACCATCCCGTCAGGAGTTTTAACAATTGGATACACATGTAGTTAGTATATGATAGATGACCTAACAGTTAAAACACCCGACGGGATGGTTCCGCAACGGGACCATAGCATTTCTCTTATGTATTATGACAAATGAATTATTTTATGAATATATTTATTTAATTAAAAGTATTATAAATGTTGTACTGGTACAATTTTACGTGGAAACTACTGTGATGTAAAGAATCGTGGCCTTAATTGGGGACAAAACATTCCATTCGACGTCCCTTCAAGTTCAAATATTAACCAAGTAACGTATTTTGTGCAATATTTTATGACAAATGTCAATTTAAATATTTTTAACCCTTAATTTGGGATTATTTTTTTGGTGCATTTTTAGGTTAGGGGATATATAGTTAATTAATGATCAGTCAAATGAGTATACGATAAGACCCAAGAAAAATTAACCCTCACATTTCAAGTACATATTATACTATATAGACCTCGTTACTCCTAGTTAAATCATCCTTATAATTAAAATAAAATAAAAAAAAATGAAACCTGACTTTATATATATATATATATTCTAAGCTGTCAGTATATTTTTTTCATACATATTTTTATATCATCTTACTGACTTGATCGTCGAAGATTTAACGCCTGGAACATCTCCCGACGTCTATACAGATCTCAATGGAGCAAATGGGTCAAGGAATATGTGGAGAGTCGGTTCGGGGTACAAGTGCACATCATTTTTTACGGCTCAATAGACTTATTTGATAACAATATATCTAAGATCAATTTTTTTGGTAGAAGTCTTGTCCAACTTTTTACCATAGTTTAGTTTCTCAAATACACAGTTATCAACAAAATATTACTTGACGTCATTATATCATTACATTTTTTAAAGCACTGAATTATTCGTGTAGACACGTAAAGCTATTTTTCATGCCCTTTTACCTAATCTCAATTTCTTAACGTACCAATCAACTGCCTAATCTCGTGAATCTCTGGTGAATTGTGTGAGTACACTTAAGCTACGTTTGGTAAGCACATAAGCTAGTTTATAGATTAATTTATACGTTCTCTGTATTCAAATAAGTTCCGTTTGGTAGGACGAGCTTATTTAAAAAGTTCAAACTTATTTGATAACCTTCTTTGAGTAGTTTTTCAAATAAGCTCGTTGATACTTTTATTTCAGCTAGCTTATCAGCTAATTTTACCAAACACATTTATCATATATGCTAGTTTTTCAGCTATAAGTCATAAGCTATAAGCTATAAACTCAAAAATTACTGATAAGTTATAAGCTTATCAGCTATCAGCTAGCTTTACCAAACATAACCTTATTTGATTTGGCTCACTTTTTAATCCAAAATCCTTCTACATAAAATAATTAAGGACTGAAAAGGTTGATATAGTGTGCTAACATCATACATTAATGATCCTAAAAATGATTCATGAGAATCATTTATATATTTATCCAAATATTTGGCTTTCATATAGTTGCATTTCAATTTGATAAGAGGAAAGTACAAATTAATGCTGGACATATTATCGTGCACGTATTTTATATTGAACAATTTTGATTGGTCTTCAAATGTGAGGGTTATTGGGCAGAAAAATATAATATAGACGAATTTTGATTAGGTTAAAATCATATAGGTACGATTGTATTGACGAGAAGAATTAAGTAGTAATAAATCAATCAATTGAAATTAATATACCAGATAACATTGGAATTATGACTCACAAATACAAATTAAACAATGAATTCTGGACCTAAATTATTTTAGATGAAAAAAATAAGTGGGTAAAATAAGTCCAAATTTTTTGCGTGTGATCATTTTCGATGCAAAAAAAAAAAAAGAAAAAAAAATCCAACTGAGGGATAAATCGAGACACCAAACTACGCCAGAATTATACTGAAAATTTGTATATACGACTACCTTGATAAGAATAATATGAAAACGAGACAATCGACTAAAACAAACGCCTTATGGCATCAAAATCAAGTTATAGCTAGAAAACATTGAATTTTAATCCTTCCAATTATGATTAGTGTAACCTTTTCTAATGTTTTCGCCGAATTGGTGTAATAAAATTTATGCGCGCCAAATTAATGTACCATTTTAGAACAGGTAAAAACTTGGCGTACCAAAAATGAAATTTTAATTTACCATAAATTTATGGCAAGCCCCCATATAACTAACCATATTAGAAATTTTGTCTCAATATATATATTTACTTACAAGGCCAACACTTATAGTGGACTTTCATACAGTGACAAAGAGTTTAATTATGCATTCCATTTTTAATTGAAGTGGCCATTCATCATCCACACTATAAATAAAATAAAAAATAAATAATTAATCAGAAAGCACTAAACCCTAAAGACATTTGGTGCTCATAAAATCTAAGGACCCCCAATTTCTAATGAAGCAAATATAAAAATATCAAATAATGCATATTGCCATGGAAAATCTTTCACATTCTCATTTAAAAAATTAAGAAAATAATAAATAATAACCTTGGCAAATGAGATTCTTGTTTCTAGGCCTAGGGCTATTTTGTGTGGTTGTATTAATTTTTGTTTGATATGGATAAGGAATCTAAAGGAGAATTGAAAAAACGGGGTTGACGAGTTCGGTCCTACGGCCGTGAAGCGCACTAAAGTAGGGTGAGCCTAGATGCAGGGTTTTAACGGGGTTCTATCCTAAAACCAATTGGGAAGGGGCGTGTTAGAATATACACTTGTGAGTTATCCCACATCGTTTATACAAGGAAAATATGCTCAACTCATAAGCCTATTGGGTTACTCCTCTTACTACCAATTGGTTTTAGGATGGAACCCCACTAAGGACCATCTAGGCTCACCCTGCTTTGGTGCGCTTCGCTTCCGTGGGATCGCACCCGTCAAACCTCGTTTCTTCATGGTATCAGAGCCGATTTTAGAGCCGGTTCACCCGGCCCTATAGAGATAAAATAGACATAACTTATAAACCTAGTGAGCTATTCTTCCTACCACTAATTAGTTTTAGGATGGAACTCCACTAAGGCTCATCTAGGTTCACCCTACTTTATCGCACCCGTCAACCCCCGTTTCCTCAAGAATACAAAAAAAATAAAAATGAAAACATAGTTAGTGCCATTCATAGGTGTAATATTCATATAGTTTTCCAATTCTTTTGCACCATTTGCTTATAAAAGACCATAACCAAGAGTTTTTGTTCATAACATGCAATAGAGTTGTAAACAAAAAAAAACAATTTTTTGTTTGTGTGTTGAGTAAGAAATTAAGACAAAATTAAGTAATCAAAAAAATCCAAAAAAAATAAAAAATAAAAAAATGGGTGAGCAAAATTTTATGAATAACATAAAGCCTTATTTGGCTATGGTGGCTCTTCAATTTGGCTATGCTGGAATGTACATAATTAGCCTCGTCTCTTTGAAGAGTGGATTTAGTCACTGGATTTTGGTTGTTTATCGTCATGTTGTGGCCACATTGGTCGTCTCTCCTTTTGCATATTTTCTTGAGAAGTATGTAATTTTCAATTTTTTTATTTATTTAATGAGAAAAAACAAAATAATATTTATATATGTATGGATAAATATATACTTTTATTTTAACTAATTTGTTCAATTTCATTTTTTTTTTATTGTATAGTTAATGTCTTTTATTTATTTGTTTCAGGAAAACCAGGCCCAAGTTGACAAAATCAATTTTCCTCAAGATAGTTGTGCTGGCGTTTTTAGAGTAAATAGTCCTCAAACACTTCATATATATGATGATGCCGTCCCGTTACAGAACTATATGTCGAGTTTTTAACCGTTAGATCAATTATTTCCGACTATTATATGATGATCTGACGGTTATAAATCCCGACAGAACGGTTCCGTCACAGGACCGTAGAATCTCCCCATTATGACGTGATTTTTAACTAATTATTGATGATGATTATCTAGTGTCTAATTACAGTTTAATTAATTAATTGTTTGATTAATAATTAAAACTAGGCCAGTGCTCGACCAGAACATGTACTACCTTGGAATGCAGTACACGTCAGCAACATTTGCGTCAGCAACTGTCAACGTCTTACCCGCAATCACCTTCATATTAGCAGTCATTTTCAGGTAATTAAGTTGGGCTAATACGAGATTACTGAATTTAACTAACAAGTTATTAATTGATTATTTTATTTTATTTTTATTTTTATTTTATTTTATTTTTTAATTGTTTGAATAATATGTCACAGGTTGGAGAAAATAAAACTGAAAAAGGTACACAGTTTGGCTAAAGTGACAGGCACTGCCATAACACTGACAGGGGCAATGCTCATGACGTTGTACAAAGGTCCCGTCGTTAACATTTTGTGGTACTCACACGGCGGCGCCCACCACAAAACCGCCACCGCCACTGCCGCCGCCGCCGCTTCCGATCAGCACTGGGTCACCGGCACAATTATGTTGCTGAGCTGTGTAGTGGGCTGGGCCGGTTTCTTTATCTTGCAAGTAAGCCCATTTCAAAATTCCCTTAAAATATATATGTGATGTTATTATTTTTTATTTTTAAATGTAAATTTTCATCTTTGATTTTGTTTTTTTCAACAGAATAAAACATTGGAGGAGTATCCAGCAGAGCTGTCCCTGACATCACTCGTTTGCGTTACTGGAATGATTGAAGGCGGGATTGTGGCCGTGATAATGAAACACGACAAGAGTTCTTGGGCCGTTGGCTTTGATTCTAGGCTGTTAGCTGCTGTGTATTCTGTAAGAACATCATAATTCTATTTATTTATTTAAATATTATTTAATTATCAAGTAAAAAAATTAAAGAATCGTTAATTGCGATTTTTAGGGGATTGTTTGCTCGGGAATAGCGTACTACACGCAGAGCATAGTGAACAAGATTCGGGGGCCCGTGTTTGTGACCGCATTCAGCCCGCTCAGCATGATCATAACCGCCGTGTTGGGAGCCATAGTCTTGGCCGAGCAAGTTCATCTTGGAAGGTACGAGTTTAAATTAGCGGATTGAACATCATTCAAAGGTTTAATAGATAAAAATGTTTGCTAGTTGGCTTGTTTCGTAACGAGCTTATTTATTTATATATTTAATCCAAAAAACTAATTCTCAAAAAGTTCAAAAGGAGTAAAGAATTTAACAATAAAATAAAAAATAGAATGTAACAACTTCAAGTTTTTGTTAGTCACTAATCGTTTAATAGACAAAGTACTAACTGAATTTGCTAGCCAAACCAGCTAATAATATTCATGTCATATGTTGTCTGGTGATAAAATATGCTATCAGTTATTCGCAGTTATTCGGTACCCGCTAATTCACAAACAAGGTCTACATGTTAAATAGTGTTTGATGATTACGTATTAATCAATATTTGATTGATTGGTTTGAGGTTAATCAACACAAAAGATATGTCTCAGCCACTCGAGTTACCAATTCTCTTCAATACCATTTTTTTTTTTCCTATATTAACTTTGAATTTTCTCTTACATTTTTCCATGTATTCACGACCAACAGCTTAATGGGGGCAGCCATCATAGTTGTCGGGCTTTACTCGGTCGTTTGGGGTAAGAGCAAAGAGCGTTCGTCTCTAGAGAAAGAGGCTTCCTTTTCGAGCCGGGCCAACGAGTTGCCAGTTGTGGACAAGAAATCATCAGCTCAAGATCAGGAGCCATGACACAAGTCATTTGAAATCAAGAGAAAAATGTTTCTTTTTTTTTTT